AGCCAGCAGCAGACAACAGCTTTTTGTGTTAGATAGGGAAATTCCGAAATGACAGGACCCTGAACATCCAGGTCAGTCTTCAAAGAGCAAAAAATTGTATTACAACAGCTAAATGCAAGTATATAATTTGCATGTTATATGCTGAAAAACATTTTTGCAGTGTTGCATCAACTTCTATTTTATTTAATTTGAGTGCTTCACAACCTTTGACCTTCTTCTGTATCTCCCAACTCGTAGAGTTAGACCTTCTATATTTATTCAAAGCTGGAATTCTCACATAACTGACGACTCCCATAGTCTTATGTCTCTTTTAGGGAGGAAACCTTGGCCATAAGTTCTAAATGCACTTACACATCAGGACACAAAAGCCCCCATTCAAATTTACTGTTGTTTTGTGAGGATGTATAGGCCAATCTTGATTCAAGCAGAGGATAAAAGACACAGCTTGGTTTTGTAATTAACTGAAAAACCCTGACTAGCCTTTCAGATTGCTAGAGCTAAGAGAAGATAGGTGACAAAAACAATTCTAAAAATTAATAATGATCTATTAAAACACCAGAATAGAATTAACTGTGGACTGGAAGCAGTCTGAGGCTACTATCACTATAGTGAAGAGAATAAACTATATTCATAAAACAAGCAGCGTTGAGTACTACAAAATTTTATTTCATCATAAATAATTGGCTTTTTTATAACAAAGTCATTTGACACAGCCAAATAGATGCATTTTTGCTAGGTCAGGGTACATTGCGTAATTATTTCTGAAGTACGGGCGTTGGAAGATTTCCCATACATGTAAGAAACTGCAATCAGAACTGGTCAGATCCAGTATTTCAGTTCAGTGACTTAGAAGGAGGCTTGAGGTGACAAATGTTGTGCAGGAGAAGAATTACAACTCAGATTGACTATACTGAGAACATTTCCAAGGGAGTGGCAACAGCTACACTTCAGGACAGATAACTTTCCACAGTGGGTGCTACAGACCCTGCCTCCAAGGGTGCATGCCAGCTAAGCCCAGTTTCCACACTGGGAAGGGGTGTGGGTGTTGCACCATCCTCCTACCCATCTTTGGAGGGAAGCCCCAATGGGTAGGATGAAGGGAATCAGGGTACACGCCAACACTTGCCCCACTCCAGAAAAGCAGCAACCAGGTAATACAAAAAATGTCATCAAATGCACCTGGCATGCAGTGTAGTGGCAGAAACAGCTGATAGCTGAACCACAGGAGGCTGAATTAGGAATTGGCTCCCTTTAATAATTTTTTTTTCCTCACTACTTCAATTAAGAGCAAAAATGAAGCAGAACTGATATATTCCTGCTATGAAATATACTGTAGTCTACATGCAATTGATACTACTGTTAGTTGTAACAGCGCAGAAGGAATTGCTTTCAAAGAAATAAGATGTTCTTGTTCGTGGTGAGCAGTATGTGATTCCTCTCATGCTTCTCTGAAGTCATTAGCTGCAACATACTACAAAAAGTTCTCCATTACAGCTCTTATCTGACTGTAACCACGACATTAATTTTTCTTGAAAAGTATTTTTAGTTGAGTGGCTGCATAAAAATATACCGTTATTCATTGCAATGTAGACATCACACAGGAAAAGGGTGACTATTACTGTCACGCACACTTGCTTGGTGTGGGCACACAGCTGTGGCGCAGACTGCTCTGTCAATGACAAACCCACACAAGCAGTTTCAGTTCCTACACTGCCCTACACCCAGCGGGAGGGACCCAAGTCAGCAACTGGTCCAGCGATGCCATGAATGTAATAACCCGCGGCCCTGAATTCCTCACCAGAAATCCTGCCCTACATCTTGGGGTCAATCCCCATCTCTCCCCTGTGAGCACTGGGTACCAGCTTCCCGGAGTCTGGACTGGATGTTTTCAGCTGGGACATCCTGGGCAGCATTTCCAGCTTGAGGTGCAGCCATGTCTTGTGCTTGGCTCCAGAATGATCTCAGAAATTGTTCATCGCTTCTGCCATTTGCATGAAATGCACATTTATGTCAGTCAAGGACATGCAAATAGGAGGTGAACAGATTCTCACTATTCAGGACTTTGTTTCTTAAATAAATACTTAATTATTTTTTGTGACTGAAGTCAGACAAATGGGAAAATACTTATAATGAGCAGCCTCTTGTAATTTTTTTTCAAGACTGTTACCACCGCCCATCTGATCCTCTTCCCTTTCATTTTCCAATGTTCCCCTGTTTCTTCATGACCACTCAAAGCCTGGCCCATCACTGAAACCAGCCAGCACGTCTACAGCTGTTTCACCCCTTGTCTTCTGTGGTGTTTCTAATACATCTGACTGTTTTTTCAAATAAATGTATCCTACCTTCAATTCACAGTCTTCATTCACTGCCAAGTTTCCAGGCTTTAGATCCTGTAATCAGATTTTAAATTGATGTTACTTATTTATTTTACAGCAAGCACAATAAAGCACACTTACTTTCTTTCTTTCTTTTAGGCTTAATGGTTTCCATACAACTACTTAGAATAGCAAAAGGTAAAACAATGTCATAAATCTAAATTAGAAAATTAAATGTAACAAATAACAGAAACAAAGACATAAACTTTGAATGTTTGGCTTTTTTCCAGTATGCTTTCCCCCCAGACAAATGAACTTTTTCCTGCTAGAAGTCAGGAACATACTTGCCAGTGAAGGAACTCACTCATCTGACTGTGACTGGGGTTTAGACATAAATTTGTTGCATTTAATACTAACACCACAAAGTTAAGGATTCACATATACTGAGATGGAGTAAAGTAAATTTCCTTCACTATTTCTTGACTGTACACACTGCATATCTAAATATACTTTAAAAAGTTTCCATACTCTGATAGACCTAGAAGGAGTACTGAAGGAATCAAACAAGATTTTACACAAAAGCCTGTGCTCTCTTCTGTAGGAAAATCAATTTCCTAATGAAGACAATTGAATGAAGACTGCAACATGAAAAAAATATTCCCCTAAGCCTCTTCAGCTATTGTAGAGACTTCTAATGATCTTTAAAAGTTGTACTTCTAAGTTTAGCAGCAAAGGGAAGAGTATTGGCAAAGACTAGTAAGATTTTGCAATGTCAATGACTCTTAAGGCATTCACAGTTATAACGAGAAAAAAAGAAAAGAGAAATAAGTTCTCCTTCAGCTTTTGCAAACCTTTGTCACTTTAGCACAAGATGTTTTAGAAGAATCTTCTCTCTGAACTTTTTAACAGGCATCTAGCTGTTTTTTACGAATATGTTTTAAGATCAGAAGGGCCTGGGAGAAAAACAAACTGGTGCAAAGAACCATAACGAAACCAAGAAGCTCAAGAGGCATCAAGAAGGAGCTTAGAAAAAGTCTAAGCAACCGTACACTGAGACAATAATCACAGCAGTTGTAGAAATAAAAATATCAATTTATTACATTCTTTTGGCAGTTTGTGTAGTTTCCATGTCCAGCTTAAAGCTACTATACAATGTGCACTTTCTGTGGTACTCCTGATATTTTATTACAAATGTCCAGTTTCTACTGTGCTGATGCAGTTTTTGGGGAAGTTTGCTTGGTTCCACAAGGGCATCATTCAGAACTCTTCCTTCCCAGTACGAAAGCGATTTTAAGTGGACTTTAGACACAGCAGGGATTCAAAAAGAATCAGATGCTTAATTTCTTTCAGAAAAAAAATATCAAAGTTTTCAAAGGCTCTAAAATTTTGGACTATTTTTTTCAGTTTCTATGTTCTCATCTCTGCTCTCTGCCCCAACTCTGAACACTAACACAATGTTTTAACAACATTTAAACATAATTTTTAAAAGTTTAATCTTAATTAAAAAAAAAAAAGCCAGAAAAAAAACCCTCTTATCCATCTCAGTTTAAATGCTATTTGCTCCTGTGGGGACTTACAACTTAATTTCACAAAGTAATTTAAGAAATCCAAACCTAAGCTGTATTCAGTTCAGCTTGAGTGCCCAGATTACACTGATGCAGCCATATGACCTTTTGCTCCTACTGAACAAGAAACCAAGGCATCAAACACTATAAATAGACACATTATAATCAGAAGTTCAGGCATATTTAGAAGCATGCTTATACACAAACACCGCTCACATTACCAGAATATAAACATCTTTTATATTATTTACACTTACCCTGTGAATTATGCCTGATGAGTGAATATACTGTAAAAAGAGAAAATATTTTTTAGTTAATGAGGTTCTGACTTTAAGAAGTTGGCTGGGGCATGGGAGGAAGTACTTTTTCATGGTGCTAAAGTAATCTGAAATTAGAAAATGTTTATTTATTGCACAGATCCTTTTAGATATGTTTTTAACATTCAGATAATTGTACTAGCATTTTGCCCTTCCCCTCCCACAATAACGAGAAAGCAGTAAATCAGTTTGAGTACTGCAACATATCCTATAGTTTTTTCTAATTCTTTCCATACATAAAATCCTGTTTACAGTTAATTTTTGGCATTGCTATATAGATATATGTATCAAAATAAATCCTGCTATTTTATATATAAAAAATGCTCTCTTGTAATAGACATCTCTGGCATGCCATCATAGTTTAGATTCATATGCTCCAGCAGCACTGAGTTTTACGACATGATTTAAGACCAGGATGAAGGCCAGTCGAGGTCTTGGCTGCGAAGTCTCACTATGTGCTTCAATACTTCCTCAGTGAAACACAGAGAAATCACGTTACAAGACATTCTCCTTTACCTGAACATTGTCATCACCCTTCCAGTGACCTATTTAAGTGCTCATGAAAATTAAACCAACAAACTGGACCCCTAGGACTAGTTCTTTTGGGAAGACACCTAACCAAATACAGGTGTCTGCATCCATGACTGTCACCAAATGCGCCCTGCTGAGGTACGCAGTTCCTCTCACGAGCTGAATGGTGCCCTAGAAGAGACTATTTTCATCACAGACAATAAAGGGAGCCTCTAGTAACCAGTACAGACATAGGCATCTCTTTTGCAAGGATCGAAATGCAGAAAGTTGTCCTGAACTGAGGACGTGCTGTCCAGGAGTGGACTGGGATGTGCTACTACTGTTCACTTCAGGTGTGGGGAACTGATCTGAAAACTGCACAGACCATACTACCGAGGGCAGCTCATACTACCGACACTAAACAACACCAGGCTTTTTAAAAAGTCCCCAGAAAAGATGCATGAGATGCAAATCACACCAGCTTCACCTGGAGAGTTTTCATTTTATTCCACTCTGAAGAATGGGACAATAACTGGGAAACGAGTTGTTTGGAACCAGCTGTCAGAGCCAGGGACAGTCAGGGTGGTCTCACAGAGATGCACAGAAGCACTGTGCTTTGCAGGGTAACTGCCCACCAGCCATAGGCCCAGCGACCATTGTCGTCTTCCCCACCAGCCATGAAGATGAGCAATTAACCTTGTAAATGCAACAGCTCCTCTGCAAAGGAATCCTCATAGCCCACCCGATGAGGGGACCAGGAAAAAGAAAGTAAAGCTGCAGATCAAAGCCAACTACTTCAGACAGGTCCAATGTGCATTTCAGACTTAGGCTTCCGAACTTAAACAAAACCCATACAACCTAAGCAGCACAAGATCTGTATTTAAGGCACTGAGTTTTTTAAACAGTGACTGAACAAACATAAAATCTCTGACATTTACTTTTTCCTCTCTTACACCTGACCCAGTGCTCCAGATATGATGTCATAAGTTCTGAACAGAGCAGGGGAAAAAAAAAGAAATCACTTCCTTAACCCTGTAGCTACAACTTCATCAATCCAGCCTAGATGGTGGTAGGACTCTGCCACGGCACAGGCACACTGCCGACTGCCGTGCCGGAGCCCACGCAGGACCCAGCACTTGTGGTAGACCAGTTCCTGCTGCATATTACTTACAGATTAGGCAAGATTTAACATCACCCGTAGGAAATGCCAAAGTGCCTCACAGGATTTCCTGGGGCAGACACAAGGGGTTGAGGCTGCAGGGCTCTTCCCCAGAATGTAGTCTGTGAAACCGCTCCAGCAAACAAACTACGGAACGTTGTTTCTGTCATGGATGGGCATGAAGTGGATCGGGATGGAAGGAACCCGATGCAAAAAAGAGGAAGTCTGTCATTTGTATGCGGAGACCAGAGGGTTTATATACTTTTTTTCTTTTTTTAAAGAAATGTATCTATAAGTACTTAGACTCCTCAAAAATGAAGAAAAAGGTGACACCTTCTGCCAATAGCCATCTTGATCAAGGACATCACAATGACTACCTGTATTCTAAATCATTTCAATGTCTACTTAATGAAGCCTCCTGACTTTCCAGAGCAGAATGTTTAAAATATTGTAGAGGCTATTTTTGCTGGTATGACTGTAGACAGTAAGGAAATAACTGGCAGACCCAGGAATTTCTGCACCTAAGAATGTGGCACGTAGAAACGGGAATAAAAAAGGATTGCACCTTTTGGAGCTTTAGTTAAAGTAAATCTCACCTGTTTGGGGGGGTAAGAGCCTGGTTTCGCTGATGCTCTCACCCACTGAAGGTTTTATGAGTGTTCGCAGCACCAAAATCATATTAATGCTTTGGGGAGAACTCCTATATTTTCTAAACACTCCTCTTAATACAACACTATTGAGATTACACGAAATAGCACTTATTCCTGGTGCTAATGTACACATCAGCCTTTCCGTAAGATGAAATACTGGTGCTGTGCTGCAGTGTTTCTTTAACAATAGCAGTATTTTTTTTAACTGCATTTTATTATCTCCTGGCAGGTAGCAGCACTGGAACTATACCATTCTTCGTTCAGAAAATTTTCCATTTCAGTTCAATAACCTTCTAAAATGGGATCTTAGTCTTACTGACTCTCCTCACTAAATTATCCATTTATTGACAGACTTTTCACTCTGAACATGGCAAAAACATCCAGACAAGAGCAGACATATCCTTCACAATGTTATTACCACTTCACCTGAACAATATTTGATTCAAGAACCCTGTTAACGTGAGCAAAGTGCCTTGGAGCACAGAAGCTCTGTGCATTATCCTAAAGACAATTTGTGGCAGCATGCATAAATCCTCGAATGCAAGCTTCAGATTGTGCTAGGAAGCTATCCAACAGTTATCTAAATTCTAAGCATTTTTGTCTGTATATGCAATCTCTACACAAAATAAAAAGCTAATCAAAAGGGAATAAGAAAAGACTCAGGAGAAAGTACTCTAGGCAGCAAGCTAAATGAAAATGAGGAGTGACTTGGCAGGGAAGGAAAAACTGAAGAGGAAATGGGTGAGAGGGGGAAGGGAGAGCAGAGAAGCAGAAAGAACAACATAAATGTGAACAAAAGACAATAAATACAGATGACAAAAGGAGAGAACTAGAGCAGGTAAGGATTACCACAAGTATGGCAAAAGAAGCTTGAACAGCTGTTTGTATGGCCCGAGAGCTATCCATCCATTGTCAAATACTGAACGATTAAAGAAACAGGACTGCCACCCAGCTCCAAAGGCCCCTGGGAACACAAACCCACCCGGCCCTGCTGCACAAGAGGGACCCAAGACTGAAAGTGCTGGAAGCTCCAGCCCCTTTCCACCTACACACAGACATCTATGTTCAGCTTGCCTTCTGTACTCTTCGACAATACACAGCTTTTCTGTCAAACAAACAAAAAAGAAATGATGAAAGCCTTTCCCAGTTGCAAGCTCATACTTAAATAAAATTTAATGCCAGACTAAGGCCTGACTAGGAAGCAGACAAAGGAGAGGCATGTCATTGTTTTTAAGCGGAGTCAAATCACATTGTTTTTTTCCTACTGCAGATGAAGTTAAATTCTGATAAATTACAAGGCTCACCAAAGAAAGGAAATGAATATTTCATTCTCTATAGAAAAAAAGACAGTAAAATGGCAAGAACAGAAACTAACTGACAAACAAGGACTGTATAGACTGGCAGAGCAAAGATCTGAGGGCTTGACAGGAATCTTCCTGAACTCAGTATGAACTTTCTACTGACCTCAATTTATATACGTTTTTTTGAATCAAACACATTGAGCGTTTTAGTATACAACCAGTCCAGAACCAGTCTACAGGTAGAATGTAGAAATGAGGCCTGCAAGGAACTGACTTGGGGCCTTAGCAAAAACCTCTCTTATCCCTTCACAATACATCACTCATACAGAGTTTTTTCCACATGCATTTCACCTTCACATGTAAACAGGTCGTTACAATAGAAGTATGCAATGTGACCAAAAATGATGAACAGCCTTCTTGCCTTGGACCAGACATAAATACAGATACCATAAAGTGCTAATGTACTTTACAAAAAGGACAAATACATATAAGCAGGTACCATCTTTAACACCAAAACAGAGTCCATCCAAGTTAAAAGGTGAAAAAAAAATAACATGCATTATAAAAATGAGAGGCTAAGCTGAAAGAGTTTTACAACAAAGATCTACAGAGTGGCATATTCCTCCTTCCCAGGTGTCAGTTATTTTCCCTTATAATGCCTCAACCAAGCACTAGCTAAGTATATGCTTTGTTCCTCCTGCCCAACCAAAAAAAGCAATCTAAGTAAACACAGATGGACTGTCTTTAATCCAGATACAGTAGACCTTAAAAAGTACAAGATTTTAATGCAAAACTTCACAGAACCTTTCTTAAACAGCTAACTTTCTGATCTCTGTAAAAGACAAACTGCTGACCCATTTTCTTTTTCCTCTGCATGCTAGCAGTACTGCTTTCAGATTAACCCACCTCCCAGCGCAGACAGTGCTGCAAGAATGTCCCTCAAGCACTGGACCACTCCTATTTCTTAAAGATATTTCTAAGTATTGCGGCTGGATGAACTGGTTTGAGAAGAATCCAAAATTTAATGGAACAGACACAGTAAAGACTGTTCTCAAATGTTTGCCCTGCAATAGGAAATGACAAAACATCAGAGTCCAGTAGCTGAATAATGTCTTATTTCGTGCTGGTAATTTTGTGGTAAGTACAGTTGTGCTCTTCAAAAGTGTGGGGGAAGAGACAAAATATTCAGGTTAATCACTTCCTATAGAAGATCTAACACAATTGCAGAGATCAGAGATACCAATTTACTAAGACTATCTCAGCATCCCTGCTGGTTGCCTTGTAACTGGAATGAGAACTGTCCTCCTTTTTATAAAATCCTGGGAACAGCAGCTTACATCAAGAACTTCCTGCTCTTTTCCTCTGTGGTGGGTTCACCTTGGCTGGCCACCAGGGGCCCACCGAGACACTTTTTCATTCCCTCTCCTCAGCAGGACAGCGGGAGAAAACACAATGGAAAAGCTCATGGGTGGAAACAAGGACAGGGAAATCACTTACACCAATTAACATCATGGGCAAAACAGACTTGACTTGGGGGGAAAGATTAATTGAATTTATTGTTAATTAGTAACAGAATAGGACAGTTAGAAACAAAACCCAAAACTAAAATCACCTTCCCCCCCACCCCTTCCTTCCTCCCAGGCTCAACTTCTCTCCTGACTCTTCTACCTTCTACCCGCAAGTGGCGCAGAGGGATGGAGAACAGGGACTGCAGTCAGTTCATTACCAGTTGTCTCTGCTGTTCTTTCCTCCTCATGCTCTTCCCCGGCTCCAGCATGGGGTCCCTCCCACAGGCTACAGTCCTTTACGAACTGCTCCAGCGTGGGTCCTTTCCACAGAATGCTGTCCTTCAGGAGCAGACTGCTCTGGTGTGTGTCCCCTGTGGACCACATGCCTTTCCACAACCCCTGCCACGAGCCGGCTCCAGCCCAGGCTTTCCATAGGCTGCAGCTTCCTTCAGGGCACATGCACATGCTCCAGCACAGGGCCCTCCATGGGCTTCGGTGTGGATGTCTGCTTTGATGTGGTCCTTCATGGGGTGCGAGGGGGGGAACCTGTGACACTGTGGTCTTCTCCATGGGCTGCAGGGGAATCTCTGCTCCGGCACCTGGAGCACCTCCTCCTCCCTCACTGACCTTGGTGTCTGAAGGGTTGTTTCTTTCACGTTTTCTCACTCGTCTTTCACAGTTTCTGCACAGCATTTTTTACTCTTCCTTAAATCTGGCACACAGGTGCCACGAACGTTGCTGATGGGCTCAGGTTTAGCCACTGGCAGGCCTGTCTTGGAGCCAGATGGAACTGGCTGTGTCCAACATGGGGGCAGCTCCTGGTGTCTTCTCACAGAAGCCACCCCTGCAGCCCCCGCTACCAAACCTTGCCACACAATCCTCTTTAATTCCTGCTTTGTTTTCTTCAGATGTATGTCAACCATGCACAGTTGCTGTGCTTGCCTTCCACATTTACTGATCCAACAGACTTCAGTGTCAACCTTTGGTGCCCACAAACTCCACCCTGTTGGGCTTTGTGAGACAATCTAGGCCACTAGGACCAAAGTATGTTTCTAAGCCATTCCACTGGAATTAAATTCATTATTCATCCTTTCCACTACGCTCAACTCAAGCTGATTTTTTACAGTTCATGTATTGCTTGCCTGTAAAATTAGCCCAAATTATGTTTTCTGTCTCTGGTGAATAGTATGTCTCTGCTGGGAAACTC